TATATATATATATATATATATATATATATATTCACCCATGTGGTACTTCATTCTATGATATACATAAGATTCATATGTATAGATATCATCATCTGTCTCATATCTCATAAACCAATCAAGTCATAGGGACGTCAGAATATATCAAATTTGATCACCTATTAATGAGTAATCCTGATGTAGGTGGATTTGGTCAGGGAGATGCATAGAAAGTACTCTAAAATGCATAACGTGTCCAAAGATTTTGTTCTTCTTGACATTTGGTATTTTGGTCTGTCCTCCTCTTTTTAGGTGCTTTATGGGGATCCTTCCTCCCAAAAGGGGGTTAAATGCATCATCATGCTCCACCTCGTGGTCCGTGTCATCCAAGGGAACCCCTGCTTGCGTGAAAAGCATAGGAATAAAATCAAGGAGGTAAGCGGATTTTTTAGTACCGCGGTAGAAGTCCTTCAAATCCACATACCCTTCATAAATGTGGTATCCCCACAACTTCTTCGTGCATTCCAAATAACCATGCTTCCGATGTTGGTGAATCCAATGATGCTACATATGAGACATCTTCAAAGCCTTAACTCAATAAGATTCAGGATAATGAATCAAAAGAGACTGTTAACACCCCTTTAGTCTACCAACGATTTACAAATGGATGATTTAAGGAAATTAGAAATTAGATTGCTTTAACTTATAAGTTATTTGTTTTTCCTATTTCTCTGTAATAGTTATTTATAGTAGATTACTACAACATTTAAGTAATTATTATTTTATCTTATGTGTAGTAGTTGTTGCTGTAAGGAGGTTATTCCTCCACTTTCTCTTTTAGTTTTAGTAGAAAGTTATTTCCTTGTTTTTAGATGGGTGGTAATCCACCAGTGTTGTATTTAGTGTACTTGAATTCAATGAAATATTATGCAGAAAATTATAAGTTTTTAAGTAATTCAAATTCAAGAGATTGCAGCTTATCGAACTAGCACTATAGGTCGTAGGAAGAAAACATTTGATTTATAGTTCAATGGATTGGTTTATATGATTGGCTCTTTGGTTATAATACATGGTGGTGGTTGTAGTTGTTATAATCATAGTTAGTTGATTATTGTAGTACACAAATTGTTGTGGTTAGGTTGTTGGGCTAGCGCCTCTAGGTACGTTTATTTGCCTCAGTTATTTGTCTCCTTTATCTTATCTCCTTTATTTCTACTTACTGGTTTGGCATATTTTCTCTTTTGCAGTTGCATGTAATGTATAGTCCTTCTTTACCTACTATTTTTTTAACTTTATCTTTGGAGCTCATTCAACTTATGACTACTAATTAGCATTTGTTTGTAGGACCTTTTGACGGAGTAAATTTTGGGATTTCCGGTGCAGGTCCCACATTCCCATTTTGACCTCAATTTTGGGGTCCATTTCCGATTGTTGTGAATTTAGTATATAAGCGTCTATAACGATATCATGATCGATAATTTGATAGTTTAGTGGTTTGTGAGGTGTTTTAGAAGTGGATAGCTCTTGTGTGGTGGATTCGAAGTGCTCGTTATCGGCCTTGAGGTAGGCTTCGGTCTACTTTCTTCATGAACTTCTTAGATTATGCATAATATAGATTTCATGTACTTTTGGATTATAATTGCCTGGTATTTAGCTTTCCTTTTATTATTTAATCTTTTCTTGATTTCGTAGGAGTTGTGGGCTTAGTGTGAGTGTTGGGATCCCTAGTTTAGGCTTGTAGCTTCGCTTGTGGTGTGGATGATCCTGTTTATCCTTGTTAGTATTGATTCTTGGTGGGATTAG